AACCAGAGACTACAATATCAATAACCAGTTTGGTTGTAGCGCCGCGATGCAATTAGTCGTGTTCCAGAGCTGCCTATGTTGCCTACGCAAAACCTGAAGGCGTTTTCCATTTTCTTACAGTTGAAGAGTTTCACCCGCGAGCAAAATGATGCGAGAGAACACTTTGAAGTTGGAATAATTATTGTAATCGACCCAATGAGCAAGTTTATCTCAGTAGATGACACACGGCACAGTCTGAAATGGTTCTGCTCCTGTATTTTGGTATTTCCGATTTGTCAATGTGAATTGCGTGTTTCCAATAAACATATTGTGACTTTTTCTTCCTTTAAGGGTAATGCCACGCCTTGTATTAATTTTTCAAGTAGTTAATGCATGCTTAATTATTCCACATGCATCGCAATCTCAAGAACAATATTATCACTTTTCCTCGGCAACCCTTAAATACCCTGCTAAAGTCGAAAGCACTACGAAGCCTTTCGAGCGTCTGACTCAAAACAATTAGAATTAGCTCAAAATTAATATGACGATATTAACATAACAACAAACGATTAAACCTCATAATAAAATTCTTTCTCTCTTTTTCCGTTCCCAAAAATAGATTTATTTAGTCGATAAACATTAATTACAACTTTTGAACTAAAATTTGATTATATGGGTACATTCTATACCCCTAAAAGTTGAGTTGAAGAGATTAAATCAAAAGAAATGCTAGGGAAGATATGCTTGTTTCATTTATTTAATTTCATAATCAATATATTCTAGGTACAGCCGGTGTATTTATCTGATGGAGGGTAGGTTTCGTATAAATGACTTGTGATTTTTTGTGAAGTTCTACAATGAATTTTTCAGAATCGTGGGAGTAGAGTCCTAATTCCACACGATCTTGCAAATTTGTAGTTTACTCATTCTCTATTTACTCTTAACGATTTAACTATACTTCATATATTTTGAATGATTTCCGTTGATCTTTTCTCATGACACAAGTCCTCACTTTGTTGTTAAGTACTTTCACCAGGGTTTATCTATAAGACGGAAGGTAGAATTATTTAACTGAAATTCATTCATTTCATTCAATTGTCGAACAGACTACAAGTGTCGCGAGCCAACTTATTCGCATCATCAGTGGTTATGTGACGCAGACCCCATCTGTGCAGGAGACATTAACATTGTTTAAAATCATCACTTTCTTTCCTCTCTTGCTTTAATTTCATCCATTTGTTTAAATGCTTGGTTCTTTGTATATATGTGGAAGTTTAATTTGAGGTGAGCGTTAAGGGATAATATTCATTTTTTCATTCTTTTTGATTTCAGGTATTCCATTCTATGATTATAGATTAGTTCCTCTATTGTAGATTTCAGTTACTGACGGCCGTAATGTAAAGAAGACAAGGAAGCTGAAAGTTGGCGCTTTGACGCGAATTATCAGATTTTCCTTGCTCAGTTGTGAAATTTCCGGTGGCAGCTCTCGCAGGTTAACACAGAATTTCGTCAATTCAAATTTAGGTATGCATGCGAGAGCGACCATGGGTATTTTTCAACAAAACTGACTGCTTCATCTAGAATCGATTATTTTTAGTAGAATTGAATGAAAGAAAAACAATGTTATCAACTTGCAAAAATCACCACTGGGAACTGCTTTCATCTCACGACTCACGCGGCAACACGTCACGTCGGAGACACTCCTCAAAATTAGGTTAGCCCATTCTCTCAGCCGACAGATCCCACTTTCATCTTCTCTATCCTCGCGATCTTTCGTATTTTGATTAAAGCCGGCAATTGTTCCCGGTCCCCCTTTTTCATCAATTTCCCTTTAATTTTTAGCTTCTATCTCTCACGTCACATCAAGTTCCTCGTCCGAATTACTCTTCAAAACAAAGTTGAATGAATATAATCTCGAACAAGACCTATCCTGTTTTTCTAAAAAGCTGTTTTCAACCTTCCCTCCTGAGCACAGGTTAACCTAGTTTCCGTTTTCCCGCCAAAATTGGCCTTATGGCTGGGAAAATTGCTTCTCTATATAGCGATAAAAAATCTGGAACACTATTTGTTGGCAAAGAGGATGTGAAAAAAGTCTTTGGGAAACGAGAGTTGTATGCAGGACAGGTCCTCACTTCCTCAGCGATGAGGCTGATTTACTTGATAATTAGTACAGTTTAGTTCCGGAAAAGATAGAATATAGGGCTAGAGACATCATTCGCTTTCAGAACTGTCGCTGGAAGCATTGGTAAGTAATGCTGCTGTCAGGTTTTGTCCGAGAAAACAATTGTGCTCTCTTTAAACTTTTTCAAAGTCAATATTGAAATATACAGCTCAGGTAACTCATTTACTTTCGCACTTCTTTTTTTGTATACAAATTTTCTGAACTCAGATTTCTCTACTTATACTTAGAACAGGGCCGGGTTCAGGAGGTGGCCACACGGGCCGCGGCGCATGGCGGCAAAATTTTGCAATTTTTTTAAATGTAGGTATAAAAAAATATCAGATTCAGAAAAAAAATACAAACGAGAAAAGGCGACAAAATCTCCACTTCCTGAGAGTATAGTAATTTCTAATTTTGTCGTTTTTCGGTGATGCAAGAGACAGCACCTTTAATTAGTCGAGTAAAGAAAGGAACCAAACACGCAATTTGACCAGGAACGGAGCGGCGCAGAGAGCGATGATTACGAGGAGAATTATTGAGATGAAAAGGAGAAGCCCTCGACGCGGCGGTCGGCATGTAACACATACTAGCGCCTACAAGACTGCATGAATACTTCACGCATTGCGTCAAACGCAGTGGGGTCATTAGCGGTCGGCTTGAAACGCATAGCGCCTACAAGACTATAGGAATGCTTCACGCATTGCGCCAAACACAGTGCGGTCAGTTTGTTCTTTGATACTTTTTTCGTTCATTTCTTATAAATGGAAGGCCTTCTTCACACAGAGATACGTTTACGGAACTTAACTTTCGCGCAAAGTTCCGTGAACTTTTGCTAGTAGTGTTGACAAGGCTTCGCAAAAAATGTGTCCAATTACGAGTAGACGCGTCTTATTCACCTCCCCCCCCCCCCTGTACGTTCACGTGATGGTTTTTATTAATGTTTCAAAATAATATACATATATAGATAGATGAAGATATTTCAAGAGAATATGGGGGCGGCAAAATACAGGCGGTCAATGGGCGGCAAGTAGGTAAATCCGGCCCTGCTTTAGAGTAATTTTATTGAAGAAAAAATCAAATGGAACTTTATTCTACGTGAGGTGTGTGCGTGGTGTAACATTTTAACGTAATTGCTGAATACAAGAAATTTCAAGTGGATCTGACCCACAAGCACGCACCGAGAGGATTTTAAACAATATAGAAATTCGGAGTAAATCATTTGGAAAGTTGATGCGAGGGCTTCGAATTCCTCCCTTTTCATCGCAGTGAAGGGAATAAATTATAAAAATAAAATCCTTGGTTGACAGTTGGATTTCACAGAGCCGCGCCCGCGAATTCCGGATTCGCTCCCTTGCGGTGGAAATCACCGCGCGCAGCTATTTTAGTGAAATTCGCCATTCCATTAGTGGAAGGTAGTGACCCTTCTTCTAGGTTGAACCCTAAAACGTATGAAATACGTATGGATACAAAAGGAGTTCACCTCAAATTGTATCTGGCACTCTTTCAGTAGCGGTACCTACCGAAACGTCAAATAAAACACAGTTATTCTAAAGGATCATTAATTCAACTTCGCGTCCTTTCATTTTACTACTACTGTATACTAAATAACGCCTTTTCATCCAGGAAAACCTCGTCTTAAAAAAGAAGAATCAATGGAATATTTACCGAAAATACCTAACATTTCCGGTTGCATCAGCATTTAGTGAATGATTTCGGGATGTATTCAGTCTACCGGTTACATCACCTGGTCGCCGGAAACACCCCCTGAATTGTGGCGAAAGTTACCGAGACAAGTTTATATTTGCCTGAAATATTCAGCATTTTTGGCTACATCAACAGATCGTCGAAAACAGTCTCTCATTGCTCGCGAAAGTATACAGTGTCAAGTCAATATTGACCGAAAATATTCAGCATTTTCTGTTACATCAGCTGACTGCCGGAAACTGATTGCGCGCACAAGTTATACAGCGTTAAGTGAATGTTCACCGGAAATATTCAGTACTTCCGGCTACATCAGCGGATCGCCGGATACACTTTCCAAATTTGCGTAAAAGTGTACAGTGTCGAATGAATATTCAGCTGTTCCTGTTGCATCAGCTGATCGCCGGAAACGCTCTTTGATCGTGGGATGTTTCTGTCGATTAGCTGATGTAATTGGAAATGCTGAATGCCTCTAGTAAATATTCATTTAACGCTGTATACTCCCGTGCGCAATCAGATAGTGTTTTCATGTGACCAACTGATGCGGAAATGTTCAATATTTCCGCTAGATATACTTGTGACGCTTTTTTTTAGGCGACGATCTTGGGGATAGGGAGGTTTTATTGCATTGGAAAAACTTTTTCTGGCTCAATTTTTGATAAGTCAAAAAGGAGCGCAATAGAAATCGGACAACTGAGAAGAAGGAAAAGAAAAAGGAAAGGAAAAGGAGGATAAGAGAAAGAAAGTCAAAGAGGAAAAGAAAAGGAAGAAGAGGGAAAATAGGAAAAATAACTTTGTCTCCTCCTCCTCCTCCTCCTACTCCTCCTCCTCATTTCTTTTTCTTACGCCTCATTTTCGTCCTTCCTCTTCTTATTCGCTCCTCCATCTTTTTCATAATGCGTGTATTCCTCTCTCCTTCTTTCTAGACATCGACTACTATCCATATCATGGGTATCGACATGTGCAAAGAAGGCCGAAAGGCTCGACTAAACACGTAAAAATTTGGCATTTGAACGATTATGACTTAATAACCAATCCATAACACTCAACAGTCACAACGAGATCCGGTGACTTGCGCAATGAGCAACCGGTCCATCCGCGTTAATACAGAAGTAGCTCATATTCTGGCTCTTTCAAAAGAATTGATGGATGTACTTACGGACGAAGATGTTGGAGAGGAGGGTGGCAGGCAAGCAGAGAATAACGACGAGCATATCAGCGATGGCGAGGTTGACGATGAAATAGTTGGTGACGTTGCGCATTCTGGGCGAGCGGTAGACGACGGCTATGACGAACATGTTGCCGATGAGCCCCACCACGAAGATGGTTATGTAGGCGATGCAGAAGACAACGGTAAGGGCAAAGGAGTGCCGGTAGAACTGGATGGGCTCCTGGGCCGTCGGCAGGGTGACGTTGGCCACGGAGGTCGCAAACGTCGTCTCCGAGTCGTAGAGCTCCGCGGAGGCGGACAGGTTCCCGTTGCCCGAGAGGAGCTCCGAGACGGTATCGTTGAGGGCCCGCACCAAAGCCGTCTTCCTGGTCAGCTCCTGGATGCTCTGGCCGAACGTGAAGCCCTCCTCATGGGAGCGCTTCGTCTCGGCCCGTTTCAGACGGCGTGCCGCCTCCACCTCGACGAGCCGCGCCCCCGCCTCCAGCCCCGGGAGTCCGTACGCCGAGAACTCGGCGAAGCTCGAGACAAGGCTCCGGTACTTGATCATGGCTCACGGCTCCCCGGGGGCCTCCACGTCCAGGGCCGGCGCCCTCCGCCAGGAGATGCCGTTGCACATCCCTACCTCCACGCACACACACGACGCTCCCGCCACTGTCGGAGCCGCGCAGCCGATACCGCCGCAGACTCCAGATCTTCCGTCGGAGCCCTATAAACTCACCGAAGGTAGTCTTTCGCTAGAAATATATAGAGCCGATATCCGAGGTGGACTCGAGGAATCTAGAGAAACACCGAATCGTTAGAAGCTCTCCAAAAAAGACTTTTGTGCTCGGCAGGAAAGTAGGGCTTGTATACTGACACCAAGAGGACACACCTGACCGGCAGAAGTTACATCTCTTCTGTAAGCGGTAAAATCATCCGTTCTTATTTGATCGCTCCGGGGAGAAATCACTTCCCTTGGCAGGTTCTATTAGTTTTCAATGATTTCTGGTTATTTAAATTCGGGGCTGTCGCTTTTACATTCTGCCACGGAGATTTAACATCGATTCTGGTTTCTTGGCGAGTCAAAGATTGAAGTTGAGCACATTAATTTGATCTGCCTTGTAAGCCTAGTGAGCCGATACAATCCGGTAAAAAAGTCGGTAGGTAATTGCTGGAAATTCGATGATATGAGGTGATATGCTCCACTAAAATCTCGATCGTACTCGAACTGATATGTGAATGTTTCCGCGGGATTTGCCGTCAAAATATGCTCGGCACACTATGCCTGCATGAGGTGATATGTTTCAATTTCTCTCAATTCTAACACAAAAAATTGTTCATTTCAATATAACGCTGGTTGTAGCTCTTGATGTAAATAAACTTCCTTTACATATTTTGCCTGATCACAGCCCAAGTTGTCCGACGTACTTTCACACAGTTTCATTTTTGAAATTTGAAGAAGCTTTTCCTAACCCCAGAAAATGTAAAATTTGCAGGTCGGAAAGGAAGATAGCCGATCGAACACTCCAGTTCCAAATTCTCGAGTGACACATTTAACAGTAACACAAATATTCCCGATAAAAAAGAAAATCCTGCACTTCCGATTGTAACGTGAACGATCGAACGATTCGATGAGAGTAACGCGACGAGAGGAGCCTAAGAGATGCTGCTGGTCATGAATCTGGGGTGTCACGGTTGATGGAGTCGGCGGATTTCGAGGGCCGCGCGAGCGTAATTGGGTTGACTAAACACAGGAGTGCGAGGTGGAAAATAAAAATGAGGCTTAAAAAAAATAAAAACGGCGCCTTGGAGGAAGCAACTGCAGCGCGTGGCGAGGCCCGATGCTCACTGGTTGTACTCGACTCTTTGCACGGGGCGGCGAAGCACCTTCCACGGCTCGCGAGGAGGGGCGCCGCGCCACCACAAGGGACACAGGGGCGCATGTTCCCTCCCTCGCCCCTCGCCCCGAAGACTGGGTTACGTGGCAAGTGTTGGGGTACTGAATCCTACCTTTACATTAACCTACTTCAGTCTTCCTCCTTAAGCTCCGACGAACCTCGATTAATTGCGAAAAAAATTCGGAAAACGACTTTGCCCGGTGTGGCATTTTTCCAGCCGTTTCTTGGCAGGAATTTTTGGCCGAGTTCGCGTGGCGATTAGGCCACTCACGTCGTCTTACCGGGCGCCGGCGTTGTCAAAATGTCCCGCCCTTCAACCGCTCATCGAGGAACTATGTAAAGGAGACGAAAAGCGTATTTTATTTAAATTTCTGAACCTCTTTGGGAAGTTCTGCACCAGTGTTCGAACAGGTGGTACACCTAATCGCCATCCTTGTCTATCGACCCAGAGGTCATCTGGTAAATTGAATTTTGTAATTTAATCTTGAATGTCACTATCGACAATTTTGCTGGGCGTCCCCTACGTCTCCTCCAAAGAGGAGCCCAATCTGTTACCCTCTTGGGCAATCTGTCATCCGTCAATCGTTGAACATGACCATACCAGAGAAGCTGTCTAGTAAATAGCTATGTCTACACGAGAAATAAGGATGCTAACTTGAATGGCATGGGGAGTATTAAAAACTGCGTGACAACTCTCAAATGTTGATACCTATGACTCCTTCGACTGTAAATTAACAACCGGAGTGTTTAATAAAACATTCCAAAGTAGCAGTGATCGCGATGAATAGCGATTTCAATGGTTGGTTATCGCGATTATATCGGTGGCAATATATCGAGATATCGCATTAAAAATTGCGATATACGGCGATTAAATCGCTACACATCGCAATTTTTGGTTTGATAAAATCGTTATCAATTTTCGTCAATAAAATCGAGATTAAATAGCCATTTATCGCGATTTTTATTTCAAAAATATCGTGATAAATTGTCGGGCGATAAAAGAGCGATTTTATCGCGATAAGTTCGCTGATAATCGCTCAGATGTTGATGATCCTGGCGATTTTATCGCCGATAAAATCGCAATAAATAGCGATTTTTTCCCGTTGAGAAATGCTACTTGGGTTTGAGAGATGTCGCACAGACTTTCATCATTTCGTAAGTTGATTAATTCAACAGCAATTTTTTCCCACGTGGTGACTGGAATTAAATGATCAGAAATCATTCAGTGTTAATTTGATTGATTAAAAGAATTACCGCTCAGTTCGGCAACAGCGCCGCGGCTCCGCCCATGATCGAGAGGGGGTGGAAAAGAACGGTGGTGAGAGGGGAGGGCGTATGCAAACAATATTCATAAATCTTACTTTTTCGAGAGGTGGGGGTGGGGGGATCAAACGCCCGGATCGGGGTGGGGGGAGGAGGTGAGTGACGGGATTTATGAGATGTGATAATTGGACGGATATTCAAGGGAAAAGGATGTATCTGCGATTGTTTCCCCCTCGCGAATAGGTCTTTTTTGATTAAATGCACCCAATTGTAAGGGTCAGTCCAAGGTGGGAATCGTCTGCTCCATCTTCCACGCTCTACCCACTTTATTCGCTTTACCGTTTGCTTCCTGCGAGCCGCACCTCTAAGTTGCCGATTTGTAGGCTTCTAAGTTATACGCTTTTAAAACTTATTAATTCGAACCAAACTTTCTCCACGATCACCCTCTCTTAAGTAAATAATTGTAGAAACCGAACTATTCAATGCGCTATCACTAAGTGGTTCGTTCCGGATGGGACCACCTATGAGGGACTTTGAGGAAAAGGCGGATAAGAGCATTTTTGGAAAAATTAAGGTATTAATAACTAGGGGGTCGGCCCCCTAGCCGCTACGCGCCCCGAGAGGCTGCTTCGCGGCCAGCGAAATCGTTGAAATCTCCCGGACGAACACATTGAAATTGCTTAAGTTGGACCCGGGGCCGGATTTTCCTACTTGCCATGAGCCGCCTGTATTTTGCCGCCCCCTCTTCATTCGTTTTGAAACATCAATAAAAACCATCAAGTGAACGTGCCAGCGGGGGAGGGGTGCATAAGACGCGCTTACTCGTGTTGAACACATTTTTTGGGAAAGCCCTGTCAACACTACTAGCAAAAAGTCACGGAACTATGCGCGAAAGTCAAGTTTCGTAAACCTATCTCTATTGGACAAGGCCTTCCATTCATAAGAAATGAACGAAAAAATTATAAAAGAGCAAACACAAAATTTGGTTTAATGATCTTAACTTCTGCCGCCGCGCCAACCGCACCGTGTTATTTGGCGCATTGCGTGAAGTATTCACGCAGTCTTGTAGGCGCTATCCGTTTCACGCTGACCGCACTGTGTTTGGCGCTATGCGTCAAGTATTCGTGCGGTCTTGTAGGCGCTAATATGTGTTACATGCCGATTGCTGCGCCGAGGGCTTCTCCTTTTCATTTAAGTCCTCGTTATCATTTCTTACTAAGTCCAGGCCAAATTAGGTGTTTGGTTTCTCTCATAACTCGACTAATTAAAGGTGCTGTCTCTTGTATCACTGAAAGACGACAAAATTAGAAATTACTATACTCTCAGGAAAGAGAGATTTTTATGTTATAAATGTGCATTTACAAATAAAATAAATTATTTATTTATTTATATTATTATTTAGCCTTTTCTAGTTCGTAATTTTTTTGTCTAAATCCGATTTTTTTTATACCTACATTTAAAAAAATTGCAAAATTTGCCGCCCCCTAGATTTGCCGCCATGGGCCGCGGCCCATGTGGTCACCCCCTTAATCCGGCCCTGGTTGGACCTTGAACTCCCCTTACTCACCCCAGCCCATGGTCCGTCCTTCTTTCCTTCCTCACCCCGTCCATAGACCGTCTTAAAAATGATTTTATTAGAATAGAGAGGATTTCAAATAAGACTGAATTTACTGCATATTCAGTGAAAAATTTGCTCTCAAATTCCAATATGTAAGCTTCAACAAGTCAGTTTAAACTTTCATTCCACCATAAGGATCCATGTAATTCGAAACTTCAAACACGTATTTCTCAAAATAGCAAAAACTGCACTTATGCGCCTTGTCCTTCAAGCCCCTCATTTAAGAATGATTTTGTATTCAAAATCCAAGTTCTGTAGCACAGACTCAATAATATTTCAGTGTTTGCTTTCGATGAGAAAACGAAACAATGAAATCGAACATTGAACCGAGCCTAACACAAACGCACCGAGTCGCGTTTTGAAAACACATTTTTGGGAGTATAGTTTTGAATTTAATTATTTTGTATAACTTCCTCTGTTCAAAACTCCTAGTTGAGATAAGATATTTTGAAAAAGATGGTCTTTACTTTAGTTCTGAATACTGATTTTTACCAATAGAAGAATGAAACCTCAAGCCTCCTTTTCTCGGCGCGAACTAGATGCGTTATGGTGGGACTATTCACGATGAGGGACGTCATGTTGTAGTTGATAGTGACAAGATTACAACAACAATTACAAACGAGAAAAGGCGACAAAATCTCTCATTTCCTGAGAGTGAAAGTATAGTAATTTCTAATTTTGTCGTCTTTCGGTGATACAAGAGACAACACCTTTAGTTAGTCGAGTTAAGAGAGAAACCAAACACGCAATTTGACCTGGAACGGAGCGGTGAGGCGATCGGCATGGAACGCATAGCGCCTACAAGACTCTATGAATACTTCACGCATTGCGTCAAACACACTGCGGTCAGCAGCAGTCGGCTTGAAACG